AACTGACAGCTAGTGAAGACCACGGCTTATCTAAGCACCCCTTTCAACACTGAGGGCTATAACCATGATCTCACTGAACCTTCCCCCCACTTTAGCAGTACAGCGAGGTCCGCGCAACCCCACTCTTGAACTAGCTTAGAACGTGAGGGGAACTTATCAAACCACGACGCGCCCCCCGCCGCCATCACCAAGGGTCTTGCCAGCGCAGCTGCCCTTTCTTGGACTTGACCTTCTCTCCTCCTGCCTTCTCTGAAGCCTGCTTGGCCTCTTTCGAGGTCTTATGGAGACGTAGTTCGGCGTCCAGCTTGCCTGCCTTCTCCAGAAGCCTATCCATGACCAGAAAATTGAGTCGCTCGAACTGCACGTCCAAGCGGTTCGCCTCATCAAAGTCGTCGAACCTCTCTTTGGTCATGTCGTCAGCCTCTTGATTCTGCCAGCGGGGTACCCACTGGAGATCAAGCTCTATATGCCCCGCCGATCCAGCTGTGTCGCCAACTCCATGGCCACTATACTCAAAGGAAAACGACTGCTGCCGAACTTCTTCAGGACGTGTGTGTTCCCCAAGTTATCTGTAAGGGCTGTCAATGTGACGGTGGAGTCTCCCTCCGCCCAAATCGAATCAGGCGCCAGCACCATCACCGCCGCTAGCACACCGATGAGCTCGAGTGTGGCGATTGAGCGGAACGGGTCCCCCTTCAAGTATGCCCGTGCGGCGTTCCTGCGGTTGAGCTTAAAAGAGAACCACCGTGCCTGTTTCTGCGGAACTCCACCCCAGGTCTCCCAGCCTCTGATGACAATCTCCTCGCCAGCTGCTTTGGCGTCGACACGGAATATGTCGGTTGGCGAAGACATCAAAGGCTCGAGCACCTCACCGGCTTGCGCGCCACTTCTTCCCTCGCATACTCCAGCAGAATGACGGCGGCATCTGGAAACCTAGCAAACGTCCCGCCTGCCAGCGACGCTGACCATGAAAAGAGCGGTGCCAGAAAAGGTCGAAGGTGGCGCAATGCGCCTGCCACAAATGACAGCCTGCCTAGCACCGACTTCAACTCTCGTCCCAGCACTCCGCCCTGCTCCAGCTTGGCGTCAACCCACCTGGTGATCTACGTCCTTTTCGGCTCGTTGATTCCCCGAGTGAAGTTTGCCACCTCCAGGTGGTAGCCAATAATCCAGTCCACCTCGGCTCGATCTTGAGGGTGCTTGTTCCCCTCTCCACAGTGGCCCCCAAGATGTCTGCCTCTGCGTCTTCTCGGTGTATTCCTATCCTCCAGCTTGATGTTGCGCACACTCTGGAACTTGATCAAAAGATCTTGTACTTCAACCTTGTTCAGGGCCCGTGGTAAGCTTGCCACGCCAGCCTCCGCCTCTGCTTTACTCTTGCGCTTGCAGACTCACAAGTCTAAGTGTCCACCAGCGCCGCAATCTCGACCACATCTCTTGCTGATTTTAGTCCTAGGACATCCGTGCAGAAGGTCCTCACGCCTGCCCTATTGTCGGCAATTGTACTCATCCTGCTCATACTTCCAACTCGCGCCACTGCCAGCTTGGCCTGGAGCACCTCGTCGACCTTCTTCACCTGCAATAGCCCATGCAGATCCGCGTCGATCAAGGCGATGGCGTTCCGCCTTCGTTCATCTGTATCACGACCGATCCCGGCTATGATTGACGCCGCCCCGCGCCGGCTCGAAACACGCCGGCACGCCTCGCGGCCTGCCCTTCCCTTTGCTTAGGCCAAAAGTGATCATGATCAAGATGCTATTGCATCTCCTCTCACCTGTCCACGCAGCACAGTCCAACGCGCTTAGAACCTATGCTCACAGCATGCAACGTTTCACAGCCAACCTTCACCTCCTAAGTGCCCCAATTACAACACAAGAGACGACGACCGAACGCGCGCTTCCCGGTCCGCCCGCGCCGCATGACCCTCTCTATCATGTTTGAAGATGCCCGCTAGTTGGCACCTTCCATACCTATCCATGTATGACACTGCCCGGCCTGAGACCTGTGCTCTCGCGTCCTTTGTGCCACACCCCGCCAGCGCGGTCTGTGTTCTCTTATCCACGAGATGTTGCTGTCTTCTCACCCCGTGCTGTCGTCCCCCTCCGTCTCTGTCATCTCTGATGAAGAGACTTCTCCCGAAGAATCGTCTTCCCCGAGATCCTTACCTGCCTCAGAAATCTCTGCAATGCCCTTAAGCACTGTCGACAGGCCTTGTGATAGGCAGACGTGTCGGGCGCTTCCTGGCCTAACACCTCGAATTGTGCATAGTGCACACCAGGTTGCCTGTGGCACTCGCCAATCCGATGTAGAGTTTTGGTCTTCGACCTCCCTACAACGGACACGGCAAACATTCCTGCTACGCGCTCCAGCGGCAACACCTCCGGGCGTTCTGTCTCGGATCCGCTGCCTCTGTCTTCACCTCGACTGAGCCCGCCTCCTCTACGACCAGCACCATGGGCCTCGTAGTCCACTTTAGACGCAGACACGGCTTCGCTGCGTCATGGCACGGCATAAAGGTCATCAAACGCATCATCTGTTCATCACATTCCTCCTGACCACAGCCCATGCCCTGCATGCGTTGCTCAACCAACTGGACGACCGTGGTCTCGTCGACGGGATCCGAATTGGCCATGTTCTCCTTGACGAACGTGGCCAAGACTTTCTGGCTGCGCAAGACGTTCACCTTGACATTCTGCTCGTCGGCTTCATCTGCCGATGGACGCCATCTCCCAATCATCTTCCTGGCATCTTCAGGAATCCTTGCCGCTTGCGCCCAGGTGCGCACCGTGACTCTTTCACTGCGCTCTGTCCACAGCACTCCCAAACCCGGGTAAAGCAGCGGCTTTGCCCCCTCCTCTCTTCCCAGGCGGATCTCATTGAAGAGAGCCTGCGACATAGTTGAGGCGATCGGAGAATCGACCACCTTCCGGATGAAGCCCTGGCAAGACTTGTCGGGCCACGGCAGCATGAAGTCCCTTGTAAGCAGGCCTGCGCTGGCTCCCATCGACGACCAGAGCT